CGGCATCAGATGATACGTCTGGATCAACCGCTTCTTGCAACCATTTAGATATCGATTTTTTGCGTAACGCTTTAGATATTTTTTCGCATAATTTAACCCCGAGACTGTCTTCATATTCAATTGGTATTTTATCCCATAAAGCGTGTCCTAGTTTCCACACCAAGAGTTCATGTCGGCGATAGGTAGCTCGGTTGTCACCAACAATCTTGACGAAATGGTCAAACGTGATCTTTGGGCTAATGGTAAGTTTTGGTATGCCACGAGCGTCGGGCGTAATAATTGTATGCTCGGACAATGTTTGGAGCACCAAATAATGTCGGCGTTTCTCGTTTTCTTCAGATTCATTAAATACGGTAACCTTTCGTATATGCAGCACATTGGGGACGCCATACTCGGGAATTCTTGAGCCATTGCCTTTGTCTTTTACATCTCTTCCGAACAAAACTATAACACCATTAGGACCCCATCCAGCACGGAACGAATGACCAAGGAACAAGCTCATATCCTGTTCCGAACGTATTCGGTTAAACGTTATTGATTCGGAGTACTTTAGTCGCGGTATTTTCAATGGTCTGCGAGTTTCACTCATTGACTGTAGGGCGTGTTTCTGTGGTAATATTGATTGTTCCTCTTCGATCTCTTGTGTTTGAAATATCGATGGCTGCTCCGATGGGTAGGTCATTAACGATGGGAGAATAATATCCTGGCAATTACAATAGCTATTAATGATATGTGGAACTAGAAAACTTAATTTGACACGCAAACCAACCACTCGGAGGTAAAATTGCTAAAACAATGGAGAGCTAATTTTCAGACAAACTGTTTTATTTTAAGAAGGGGAAAAGTACATAATACCGAATTACACAAACGTATATAAGAAACTAGTTTTATTTATGAAAGACAAATACTAAGTAAAAACAAAAAGAGAGAGAAATAATAAAGTCTAAAGCTAAACTACAACATTCTCATGCGAGAATACAAAATGATATAAATAGATTATAAATAAATAACTTGCATCTCTTCCCTTTCCCGATTCCAGCATAAATGCTGCTACATAATTCCCACAACTTAAAACTCGCATTATTTCTTCCAACCGATTTTTGTAAACCACCACCCACTCACCTCCGCCGACGTGTCTCTGTCCTCATCACTCGAAAAACTCCCATTACGAGCATATCCGGCGGGCAATGCAGGAGGCGGCTGATCCAAAATATCTTCCATAGTATCGTAATCCTCATCCTCTTCTGGGGGAAAGATGGCTTCTTGCATTTCGTTGATTTCTAACGGATCCTGTCCTCGAAATTCAGGAAGGCTAGTAGACGGCTTAAATGTCGTGGCGGTCTCGATTTCGAGACTCGCTTCTAACAAGTCAGAGGCGGTAGGTATCTCTTGCATTGGACTATCCTCGACTTGCGGTCGAACATAAATTACGCTTTGCTCGTCACTGTCATCAGACTCGTCTAGACCATATTTAGTAAAATGCTGTACTATGAATGTCCATGCGCCTGTGTAAGCATCATAGCTAATAAATTCTGTACCAGGCATTTGCTTCAAACGAGCAATTCTCTGCCGGACTAATGTGTCGGCTGGATTTCTAACTGGAGTCTGCTTGACCTTATCAACGGGCCAGCATTTTTTCAAGGTAATAGCAGCCGGTACGTTCAATCCTTGTCCAACTGGTGGCTTGGGGATTTTGCTATCCTCGTAAACCGAAACTGAGCGCGGGACTATCTCTACAACATCACCGATTAAGCTGTTCAAAGGATTTCCGGTCAAGTCGACTGGTTCAGTAAAGTGTATCTGACCCAAGTCACCACGTCCAATAGTAAAGTCGTTTACTTTTTTTAATTGCGCTTCAGACATGTTTCGTAGTTCGGCTAACGAAGGCGACATCCAGTAGTCGCCGTAATCATCTGATTCTGTGACTAGTTCTGTGACTGGTTCTCGCCGGATGATGGGCTCGTCGGGTTCATCCAATATCTGTTGCACTGGAGTAACAGAGCGTTCTTGCTGAGCAGGTGGCGTTGATATTTCCTCCTGGAAAAGTGATGGAGTGCTAAACGATTGAATAAGAGGTTTTGGAGTTTCCGGAGATCTTCGCAGTGGTGATAGCGTGAAAGTAGATTTCTGGCCTAACGCTGTTAGCGGAGTTTGCGGCTCACTGAATATCGATTGGCGTGGAGTCTCCTGCTTTGGAGACCCAAACGTCAACCTTGTTGACTCTTGTTGGGGGGATTTACTCGGGTTTGGTGCGATTGAGTCTTTGTTAATAATTGAGCTTAGGGATACAGGGCGAGTATTTATCATTCGCCTTCGTGATCTGTTAAATGCTTCAGGACTTATTAGCTCGCTGTAATCAGAAAAAATTTCCAACGGTTTCGGAGTTTCTTGTTCAGGCTCCTTCTTTCTCCTTAATCCCGGGGAATAACCTTTCAACTTAAGTTTCTGACTTTGCCTAGGCTCTAGTTTATAATGCGGTGTGACTGGTGGTTTTTTAGCTCCGATAGGAGTAGCCGTTGGTTTCTCCGTCCTCTGTTGTTCTTGCGATGAAACCGCACCTTGTTGTAACAGCGGCACGCTACTGTACGGATACATGTCAGCTGTCGCTACTATTCCTGCTGGTGCAGTAAAAGTTGTCGGCGCGGTATTCGTAAACAAACTGGTGCTGAATGGTTGCGCTGGATTCAGGAAGGATCCAGTTGGTTTGAATTGGAACGAAGGAGTAAACGTAGATGCCGTTGTGCTAGACTGATTGCTAAGGCCTACGTTGCTGAAGAGATTCGTGTTTGATGGTTGCGTCAGAGAATTTTGCGTATTACTTAATGAAAATCCCGTTGCTATT